TGCACCGTGTAGAACGAAAGACCATCGTACGTATCATAAGTTTACCAGTCTCACAAATTGTCGTCATAAATACACATTCCTTAACCGTTTATTAATAGGACCTTTGAGCTCAACGGTAATTAATTAGTAGTGGAAATAATTTCTGGTACCCATCACAGAAATGTAGTAGTGACAATAATACTGTATGCTGTAATCGTACTGGGCAATTAGTGATACAAAAAACCTGTTTTATCCTGTGAATAAAAGTATGTGTTTTTGTTAATGTACCATAATAACAGAAGCGAAACGCAATATTGTGTCAGGACAATTCAGTATTTATGCACAATAAATAAAGGAGCATAGCGCGACAATTTCTGTTCAGCGCCAGACTTGCTTGTAACCTATATCACTAATTATGTTATGAAAATGACGTATTAAGTACTAAAAGACACTGACCTTCGTGTAAATGCTTGGAGCAGACTAACCTGTGAGCTGGAGTGTTCTGGGACGTTATATTTGATCTTTGAATGGCTGCAATCCAGGCCACCCGTCGCGTCTTTGTTACTTCGGAAACATGGCTCGAACAATTTCTCTTCAACGACGTAATCCGATAACAACCGATCTCTTTACCCGTCGGCTTCCCGTGGCTGTCATGCGACCGGCTATTGCAGTTAATAATACAACAGCTTCTTGACATTTTTGTGTTTCTTTTTATCGCTGTGTGACTGATTTTAATTGAAAGCCTGCGTGCACTAGTACCGCTTGCCACGAGTTCCCAGAATCCTTTGCGGTTCTACCCCTGAATGACGTCACATTTTCAATCTCTATATAATATGCATGTTAAATTTTATATTTGGGGTAAAATATCAAGTCTTTTCAAGTAAACCGGTTCAAGTCCAATTCAAGTCCCAAGTCATTGGTGTAAAAGTCCAAGTCAAGTCACAAGTCTTAGAACATTTTTTCAAGTCAAGTCTAAAGTCATAAAATTAATGACTCGAGTCTGACTCGAGTCCAAGTCATGTGACTCGAGTCCACACCTCTGGAATTTAATTCTGATTTACTATATTTAATAATGAATGAAGCAAATAAGATGCACCGCTGTGCACTATTAAAAGAACCTTTGTTTCATCCAACTATATTTTCCTAATATTATAACATATAAAACAAACGGTCTGTTTTGATCTACTCTGAGACATACTTCACATGATTGACTCTTTTCTGGACCATAATTTACAAAATGGACACAAATTAATAATATTTCAACCCAGCAGCTGACCAAGACCATAAACCAATCAGGACAGAGTTTACTGAGATCACGGGTCAGCTCAGTGTTTGATTGTTTTGCTTCTACAGTTGGACTTCTTTTTTGCAGACAGATGAGTTGCCCCCTGCTGGCCTTTCTAAAGATTGCAGCTCTACTTTCAGTCCTGGAAGTTCATCTTTTATTTACAGTCTGTGGTTCATGAATTAATTGAAAGTGTGATAAGCTTCATTTCATTCTTTAAAGTCAGCTGACCTGCTGGCTCGAATCTGGTGTACCTTCTTACAGAAGGTGGATTTTCCCAAATGTCAGGCTGTTTCCTCTTGGATTTGTCCTTCAGAGCTGGGATTGACTGAAACCAGAAGCAGCTCTGAATTTACTGAAATCTGCAGTCTAAATCTACTTTAGAGCTCAGAGCAGACTTTAATGGGCCCAATGGAAGCAAACTGAAAGATGAGCACGCTCATCGACTCGTCCATCAGACAGAGCGGCAGCTGTCACGCTCATCAGACGTCTTGTTTACACTGAGGGATGACATCACTCCCACTGTGAGACCAACACTCCAATCCCCAAGGGGCTGAGCTAGAGGTCGTGTGGGGTCACAACCTTCCCACTGGCACTCTGGGCTTCCCAGAGTTCCTAAGACTGGGCCTGGGAACTGGACAGCAGCCAGATGTGCAGCACGATGAAGATTCAGCTAGAAGAAAAGCCAATCCTGTGCGGTTACCGCACATGGAGAACTACCAACTCAGTTGTACTCCTGGCAAAGCTGGGTGGAGCTACAGTGCAGTGCTGTGTGTGTGTCTGTGAGTGGGGTGCACCGTGGACGACAGTGGGAGCCAGTGACGAAGAGGGTGACGTTTGGGAGCCAGGGAGGTGGGTTGGGTGATTACGCATCTACACACAAAAAACACACAATTTTGAAAAGGGGACCACCACAGATCTACCTCCCACTGCTTCAGAAGACAGTTAGCATCATAAGGCTTCCAGTGTCCCCTCTGGATAAGGCCTTGTGACTATTGGATCACCAATTTAGCATTTTAGCGCATGTAAATGAGTCACAGGTGGCTCATTTTTTCATATTTGTTTACAATACACCAAAAGAGCCCTCACAACGCAGCCATTCGATTCACATCCTCCTGTTTATTCACAAAAGTGGGCTGTTTGAGTACGTGTGTAGACACAGTGGAACAGAGTTATCCATTCTCACACACTCGGCCTGTTCTCCTCTCCGGTTACTGACAATGCACAGTAGCGGTGACGCCATCTGAAGCCTTCCTTGTATTGTCCCATGCAGGGACTGCGAGGCTGCAGCTGCTTCATACAAGAAGGGCCTACAGTCCATCACTTCATCCTCTTAAACAACATCTGTATGTTAATGCATTATAGCAATAATCTTCATTTTAACTGCCCATATGGAAAGGAAATTGTAGTTTTATAGCTTTCTCCATTCTCCTGCAATGATTTGCTTATTAAAGTGTCCCATTTGACTAAGAATTATGACTCCAATTAGGATGAAAATGGGAAAATTGCCATTTGCATGGGTAATTCAAAGCATAAAGGAAAGTGTTTTCACTTTTTCTCCACATGGGTGGTGCTTATGTTCGTAATCGGACCGGTGAACTGTATCCATAAAGCTGGTGTGTTTCATCATCAACCAAAGAAAACCCTGAATGTGTTAGAGTACAGGATATCCACCCTGACTGCAACAAACCGCAAAAAACCCAAATCCACCATAACAGGTGTTTAAAAAATAAACTTTAAGTGAATTATTTATGGTCTTTGTTAGCAGTCGGCTGGATTACTGTAATGTGCTTTATATTAGGGTCAGTGCTTCATACTTTACTTATCTACAGAGGATGCAAACTGCTGCAGCTCATCTTTTAACTGTCACTTGAAAGTTTGAGCACATTTCCCTATTTTAGCTTCACTTCACTGGCTGCCCCTTCATTTTAGGATTCATTTTAAAATTCTTTTATTTGCTTTTAAAGCCCTCCATGGCCTAGCCCTATCTTATCTCTGTGAGCTGCTACAGCCTTATACAGCCACCCGCTCTCTCAGGTCAGCTGATCAGCTGGTCCAGGACTGAGCGTAAACTTAGAGGAGATTGTGCTTTTGCTTTAGCAGCTCCCAAACTGTGGAGCGATCTGCCTTTAGAGATGAGACAGGCCTATTCTTTGACACCCTGTGAGATGTTGTTTTTTTAAGCTGATTGTATGTTGTTGTTGTTTTTTCTAATATAGGGCTGTTTTAATTTTTATGTATTATGTGTTTTTTTTGTTTGTTTTTGCTGCTTCGTTTTATCTATTGTTCTTAACTTATTTACTGTAGAGCACCTTGGTCCTTTTCTAAAGTGCTTTATAAATAAAGTTGGATTGCCTGCCTGAGAAGCTTCACGTTCTCTCTCAGCAGCCGCGAGTTGGTGAATATTCTGGATGAATTTTCACTTAATGAGGACAAACAGGATTGAAAGAAAAATTTAAGTGATTAGGCAGTTTAATTTAAACCCCCCCCCCCACCACCACCACCACCATAAATTATACATTAAATTTAAAAATTTATTTTAAAAAAAAGTTTACTATACGAAGGTAGAGCCTAAAATATAATTTCTTTAAAAAACAAACAGCGATGAATGAAAATGACTATAAAACAAATGAGAGTTATTGGTGATTAATGAATGAAACACAGGTTATAACCAGGTTATACTACAAACACGTTATTATTGTTTTTTGAGTCAATGTTTTTATGAATTTCGGAGGAAGGACATTTATGCATGTGGAATATTTTGCACGCTCGAGTCCCAGCCCTGCGTGTGCGCTGATGTCAGTCTGATGGAAGTTGGAGAAAGAGCTCGGGGGAGGAGTTTAAATGGGGCTGCTGCGAGTGCAGGAAGGAGGAGTCTGCTCATTCAGCGGAGAGTCGAGCGCCTGTTGACAGAGGAGGGCTTGGAGTTTGGAAAAGAGCGCAGTGAACGTTTGCGGATCGCAGTTTATTTTGAAAGGAGCGCATCTTCTTGTGTACGTGCGGGAGAAACGTCGATCTCTGATGCTGACTTCAGATCATGAGAGAAGCGCTCACTATGAAGTTCGCCTGGAAAACTAAGATGGTAAAAATCCAAGCGCAGACTCGCAGTGTCTGTTGTTTGTGGTCAGAGTGGGGGGGGGGGGGGGGGGGGGGGGGGGTTAGAGTGGAAAAGGGGGTGAGTGTTTGTAGGCTTGGGAAAGTAGCGGATAACTGAGTGAGGGGGAGAGGGCGGGGGTGGTGGTGAGGGTTGTTTTTACTGCTGCGTAAAGATGTCGCGGTGAGCTCGAACCTGTACGTGGAGGAGTTCGGTTCAGTGGATAATGCTGAGAAATGTCCTCACCTGATGCTGTAGATCCAAACTTCTTCGTGGGTTTTTTATGGGCTCCACAGCAAAAAGCAGAGGGGGAGCAAAAGGCGAGGCCCCGGGGCCATCACAGCCCGTGCAGCTGGGTCCAGGCGAACAGATCAGCGCCACTCTCCTTATCTCCGTTATTCTTCCCAACCAGCTGATGGGCTGATGTGCAGATTAGAATTATTTGCAGAGAGAGAGTAATGTTTGTGCAGATTTTTGAAGGATCCCAGGTAGTGCGGTGTAAAGAGCTCACCTCCTGCTCTCTGAGAACTCTGTTTTTTGGATGCTTGGATAACTTATTCACTTATGTTACTGGCTGCTTTCATTTGCATTTGCATTGGGAAAACAACAACAAAAAGCAAACTTGATACACAAAGAGAGTGTAGCTTTTTAAAAAAAAAAAAAAATCTGTCCACCTTTCAGAAAGCAGTCTGTGTGTGCAGACTGTGAACTCAGCAGCCCGGCCAGCCAGCACAGGGACCTCCCGCTATTGTTTTGGGAGTGTGTGGACTGCATGACTCATACACTGATGTATTTATCTGTCTCTGTGCCAGCCAGCGGGCAGCAGCCAAAAAAGAGAAAGGGAGAGAAACATGTTGCTGACCATAGGACAAGATGGAGAACAGCAGCATGGGACGGGCGTGCAGACATGTTTCAGATCCTCTGACTTGCAGTAACTCAGGCGCGTTGGCTGGTTTCATCTGTCAGAGTCGGTTAAAATCACATCTTTTTGTTTTTGGCTTTCTTTGAATATCTGCCCCTCACGTGTTTCTGTTCGAATCCAAACACTGCTGAGTAATGGCTGAGCGCCACTGGTCTCCAGGACTGACCATTGAACTTGCTAATGGTGAGTTTGGCCCTTGATCTCTTTGCCGGCGGCCCGTCTGTGTGGACTTTATGGGGACGAGTAATCTTGGCGTCCGTTGCCTTTGTGTGAGGACTTGGCTGAGATTTTGCCTGTGTGCTGTTTATAGGCACCTTATCCTTCGATGGCTGTCCGCTCCTTCTGTTTTCGTCTCCGTCTCCATGTGTTGGTGTCTGAGCCGGCCTCGGCCTCTGTCTGGATGCGATATCTGAGCAGCAGTTTGGGGTTTTGATTCCTCTCTGCTCCCTCTGTTTGTTTATGCACTCTGCTGCCGTCATTGATTTACAACCAGCAGCAGACGCAGCGCTTTCGACTCGGTGGATCCTTTTAGTCTCGGTGTGGTTGCGACACTGATTTGTAATCAAGCGCCGCCGACTTGTAGAAGCAGACAAACCGACAAACTCATATGTTCATAGAGGGGGGGGGGGAAGCAATGTAAATATTACTGTGGAGGTGTTTATTCTGGACTTGGCCCATTCTGGCTCTTATCTACAACTTGGGTGAGCTCGGGTAAAGCTGTCCAGCTCTGACTTCAGCTCCAGAGACACCAAGACATCATGAAAGACATGGATTGGGAATAAAAGAGGGAGTAGAGACAGAGAGGAGGAGGGAGGGAGGCCTGGCAGGCTGCAGGGATGGGGGTTGGGGAGTTGGTCATTCTTGATGTTTTACTGCACTTCACTTCTTCTTCTTAGTTTTTTAAGCACTGGAGTTGTTTGTGTGTGCGTTTTTCCGTTCCCTCTGCTTTTCTCATACACAAAAATCCCTTTCCTTTCTTGTTAAACTACTGAAGTTAGACTTGTGTTGGTCAGCTCTGCAGCGCGTCTGTCTCGATCTTTCTAATATTTCCACCGATATCTTCTTTCAGAGCTCAGTGCAGGACTGGGGGGAGGAAGTAGAGGACGGAGCAGTCTACAACGTGACGCTGAAGAGGGTCCAGATTCAGCAGGCGGCCAACAAGGGAGCGAGATGGCTGGGGGTGAGTAGGCCCTGACGAGGAGCTGAGCTCCAAACCTTCAAACGTTAAAAGTTCAGACTCCTTTCTGCACTCTCAGCTGCTGTAGAGGGAAAAAAGTGAATGTTTTTAAAGCAAACAATGTCCGGATTAGATTTTATCGTGTCCAGATGGCTTTTTTTGTTTAAAGCAGTCCAGTTATCTGTGTTCAGACTGCTGACCTTAAAAATGGCAAACCTAATCTGTATTGTCTTCTCTCGGGGCATTGTGCTCTACCGAGGCTCCTATTGTTTTAACGTTTGAGCTATAAATCTCCCAGTGGAGACAACACCTTTGAGCTGCCTGCTGAAAACGAACAGCTTCACCAGAGCTGGACCGTTTAGCCAAAGCATGTGATTTCCTGACTTTCCGAGCTGCCAACAAAGCCATCACGTTCCCCTGTTTTGCAGAATGCTGGTGTGACATAGTTTCCCACAGTTGTGCATTTTTTCAGTGAATATAAGGCATTGCCATTTCCCCCACAGAGCTGTTTATGTATCCGTAATAAGATGTTATGCAGTGCATCATTATACTGCACAGACGGGGCAATTAGGAGCATTGTTTCTCTTAGTTTCATAGTTTCTCTGGTGAGTTTTCCCAGAAAATGCTAAAGGATCTTCAGGATATTGTGTTTGTTAGCTTCTTTGGAACTGTGTGGCTGACATAAGGGATGAGAGCTGGCGCATAAAGAAGAATCTGATATCTGCTGCGAGCCTCCAACACTGCCTGGATGTATTGACAGTGGTGTAAGCCCAATTAGAGCTGATTAAAACAACATGGGTGTTTTGTGCAGAACAAAGAGCGAGCTCCCAATGAGATGAGTATATTTACTATAAACAGTCAGCTGTACGAGAACAAAAGCAGCTCCAGTCTGCACAGTTTGAGGCGTGTGTGTGTGTGTGTGTGTGCAGTTGTGCTCATTGTGGCGGTGCCGTGGATCGCCTCGGACAGATAAATAATCAGACTTTTTGTGTGCTCCGTGCTGTTATCGGAGGGGAGAAGTCGACTGTGCCGCCATCCTCCTCTCTGTCTGGAGGGATGGTGGAGGAGGGGCTTCGCTGTGATTAAAAGCAGATTGGAGCGTTTCCTGTTGTAGCGTGCTAACTTCACCAAGGTCTCTCTCTCTCTCTGGGTCTTGTGCCACCCCTTACTCTCTCTTCTCTCTCTCCCCTGCTGTTTTGCAACCACCCGTTCTGTTTTCCCTGTAGACACAATAGTCGGACACATCTGGAGAAATCCAAATTAAATATAGGTCACCGTACTGTTTCCTTCATCCCCCTGATGTTTCGAGCCCTCGTTGTTTGTTTCCATTTCTTTCAGAGTTCCTCTCGACCCTTTACTTAAATGTATTAAATGCATTACAAGCACCAGCCAACTGCAGAAATGCAACAGTTTAAAAATGTATAAGGCAGATGGGTGACAAGTTAAAGAAACATTTGTGGATTTGTTATGAATCACTGTGTCCCTGCGGTAGACTTACCCACGGCTGTAGAATAGGTTTCTGGTGGTTTTTGCTTAAATTTGTCATAATTCGCATGTTTCTTGTTTAGGCGGAAGGGGATCGCCTGCCTCCTGGCCACACGGTGAGCCAGCTGGAGACCTGCAAAATCCGAAGTATCCGTGCTGGAACGCTGGAGCGACTGGTGGAGACTTTGCTCACGGCGTTCGGAGACAACGACCTCACCTACACGTCCATCTTCCTCTCCACCTACAGAGCCTTCGCGTGCACGCAAACCGTACTGCAGCAGCTGCTCGACAAGTAGGCTGAAATGACACGATCCGAACTGAAAAATAATACTCTGCCTGTTTGTTGTGGCGATTTTTAAAACGCGTCGTCTTCTTATTTTCTGTGACAGATATGGAAGCATGGAAGAAAACGAGCAAGGCGCTGACAGATGCCACAGCTCTGAAACCACCGGCGCCATCAGAAAGTGAGCTGCAGTGTGACGTGCGCATCAGTGTTCCCGCTCACCTGGATTTCCACCTCTCTAAAAGGTTTCCCGGCTCTCTCCACAGCACCTTGGCTTCGATCCTGCGTGCCTGGCTCGATCAGTGTCCTGAAGACTTCCAGGAGCCTCCAGATTACCCCTGTCTCCACAGGGTGATGGACTACCTGCGCAAGGTTCTGCCAGGCTCAGAGGCTCTCAGAAAGGCAGAGGGTCTGCTGGAACAGCTGCAGGCTCAGGCCGGCATGGATGACACTGATGGTACTGCTATTTTCTTTTTATTTATTTATCTTTTTAAGCTTTGCATGACTCACAATTTTAAAATTCCTTCTTTACCTTGTGCTGGGCCTTCAAGCAGCACAAGCTGCCTTTAAGCTAACTTCCCTCTGATTGGCTACCCCTCACAAACAGAGGATTTGAAGAGCACTTGTGTGGGGTGGAGTTCATATTATGAGTATTGCCTCTCTGTGATATCATGCAGATGATGCTGACGTCAGTATTGTAAACTTTGACCATATTTAACGAGGATTCAGTGTTTACGCTGAGAACGGCTCACATCACTGCCTCCTGTATTCATGGGAAAAAGCATAGCAGGTCTCCTTTAAAATGTCTTCCTCCGACGCTGAGAAACGATGCGTTATCTTAGATGTGTCGTTTATTTCCTGTGCCTGTTTTGTTTATTTTCAGCTGGTTTCCACAGCAACCATTCATATAGCCTGGGGGAAGAGGATGAAGCGGAGATTGAGGTCCAGGAGGACTTCCTGTCGTTTGACGCCGACCTGGTGGCCGAGCAGCTGACCTACATGGATGCGGTAAGTGGAGGGAAATGATGTGGAAACAGGAGGGAAAGGTTACATCCCGTTTCTTCTGCGTCGCCTCACTAACATCGTACTCTTTGGGGGGGGCTTTTCTTGGTGGTGCTTTAGGTGCTGTTCAAAAAGGTCGTACCCCATCATTGTCTGGGCTCTGTCTGGTCTCAGAGGGACAAGAAGGACAACAAGCACAGCGCTCCCACCATCCGTGCCACCATTACGCAGTTCAATGCTGTCGCGGCCTGCGTGGTCAACACAGTGCTGAAGCACAGACAGCTCAGGCCTCACGTCAGAGCACGGGTCATCCAGCGCTGGATAGACATCGCGCAGGTCGGCCGAAGAGACAGACTCGCTCACGAACGCTTGGAATCAGTAAGAATGTTATCTGACTTGTGATCGTCTTTTAACAGGAGTGCAGAATACGGAAGAACTTCTCATCTCTGCGAGCCATTGTGTCGGCACTTCAGTCCAACCCTCTGTACAGACTGAAGAGAGTGTGGGCCTGCGTGCACAAGTAAGCCTCCGAACTCTCGTCTCTGCAGATGATCTCAGCTGGTTTTGATAGTAACGAGATCTCGCAGATCCTTCGGTGTGTTTTGCACGCGTGTTTTCCTGCCATGTCACATCACGTTAGCTGACGCGAATCTGCGCTTGTTGCAGAGACAGCGTGCAGACATTCGAGGAGCTCTCCGACATTTTCTCGGACCATAACAACTACCTGACCAGCAGAGAGCTACTGATGAGGGTGAGTGTGTTCATTTCATATCTGATCCAGTTTAGGAATGCTTAGTAACCATCTGTTACTCGAAATCCCAAAATTGCTTGTTCGCCGCATGGTTGGAACCAGAATTGGAGCCATTTTTTTGTTTGCCCCACAGGAAGGCACGTCAAAGTTTGCCAGTCTCGAGAGCTGTGCCAAAGAGCACCAGAAACGCACCCACAAGAGGCTCCAGCTGCAGAAGGAAATGGTAAGACAAATGCCGGCTGACAACGAGCTTTAGAAACAAACGCCAAACAAAGCGGTGTACTCTACACTAACTGCTAGCCTGTGCAGATCGTGAAGCCACACAGCTCTGCTTACTCCACGTGCCACGCTCCCATTGTTATTATCATCGCCATCTGCAGAGAACAAAGTGTAAATAAAGATGTGACTTTACTGCAACATCCCACGGAATAATCGAACCGTTCCTCCACAGGGAGCGATGCAGGGAACGATACCGTACCTGGGGACTTTCCTCACCGACCTGACCATGCTGGATACGGCCCTGCCTGACCTAGTGGAGGTAAGAGCACCTGCTGATCGTGTGTGCGAGTGTTTGAACATTTGAAAGTCTATCTGTCAGAAATGGGCCTAAGTTTCCATAAGTGCGTGAGGAATTTTGTCGGTGCGTTTGTGGAGCTGTCCGCCGAACGCTGTTTGCGTAAGCGGTCGCTGGCGCGTGATGTCTCGGCTCTGACGGCGTGCTCTTTGTGTCTTCTGCAGGGTGGTCTGATCAACTTTGAGAAGAGACGCAGGGTGAGTCTTTAGTCTGCCTCCTTTGACGTGATTACAGTTACTCACGTGGTGTTTACTCTGAGCAACCTTCTTTGTGCCTCTGCAGGAGTTTGAGGTGATCGCTCAGATCAAGCTGCTCCAGTCGGCCTGTAACAGCTACTGTCTGACTGCAGACCCAGCTTTCCTGCGCTGGTTTAAGGGCCAGCCTCAGCTCAGCGAGGAGGAAAGGTACACTCTACTCTGAATACCTTTTTTATTTTCATTGCACCGTTATCCATGTGATAATAAGCAAATTAGTGCATGAGTCATGGTCTGCTGGATCCATTCCCCCACAAATACACCAGAGCAGCTTTGTTCTGTCTTTTCTTATCGTCTCTCCCTGCTGATTTTGTCATTTCTTTAGTTCCTACTGATCTGTTCTACATGTTGTTTTGCTCTCTGAGCGCTTTTTTTTGTCTCACTGCTATTCTTGAAACCACCATCCGCTTGAAGGTTCACTGTTAATACTCTTTCTTGCAGCTATGCCTTGTCTTGTGAGATTGAAGGTCTCGGTGACAGCAGTCCGACTTTAACCAAACCTCGGAAAAGCATGGTGAAGAGGCTCAGCTTGTAAGTGCATTAAGAAAGGGGACATTTTTCGAAGCTAATAAAGACGAGTGCTGTTTTTAAATTTGAAGTGAAGTCCAGAGTAGAATGAGGAAATGAAACTGCAGGGACTTTTTAATGTTTTATCATCTAACAGCTCGCTTCATTTTCTGTTCAGGCTTTTTCTTGGAACAGACAGTAATTCGGCCAGTTCTCCAGTCAGAGAGACGCCACGCTCGCCCCCTACTGGCAGCTCCGGAGAGAGCATGGACTCGGTCAGCGTGTCCTCCAGTGACTCCGGCAGTCCGTCGGACAGCGAGGGACTCGCCACCCCGACTCACACCTCCGACTCCCAGCAAAACAAGGTGGGTGACAAAGCCACTGGGAGGAAGTGCTGTGCACTAAAAAAAAGTACACAACTTTATTAAAAACGAGTCAATTCCATTTAAATGTTTTATTGGATTAACATTTTTACACATATAAAGTTGCACATGAGAATTAACAAATGTTCTAATTTTTGAGCATTCACTGGCCACTTCATTAAGTATGCATTTTCCTTCAGAACTGGTGCAGTTCTTCATGGCACAGATTCAACACGGTGCTGGAAACATTATTCAGATTTTGTTCCGCGTTGATATGAACGCGCAGTTCATCACACAGCTGCTGCATCCGTGACTCTCCCGTTCGCGCCCTAATTCTGACCCTGTATGAACTGTAGCCTCAGTCTCCTGTTCTTAGCGGACAGGATTGGCGCAAGTGTGGTCTTCTGCTGCTGTAGCCCATCTGCTACAACAAGCATGGACCTATTGTGTATTCAGAGATGCTCTTCCGCAGACCTTGGCTGTAATAATGGTTGTGTGGGAAAGTCCCAGCAGATCAGATATTTCTGAAATATTGAGAGCAGTGTGTCTGGCACCTGCAACCACGCCACAGTCAAAGTCTCTTTGATTGGACGGTTAAATAGGTGTAATGAGCCAAGTGGCCGGCCAGCGTATAAGCTACATTTAACTCTTTTGACACAAGATGCAAAATGAAGTAAATGTTGGAGTTGTGTCAGATGATAATGAATCTTAATAATAATTTTAATGAAAAATGAAAATAATTGTTGTTTTTCATCGTGACCCCCAGCTATCAGAATCATCCTCCTGCACTTCACTCCACTCTATGGACACAAACTCCTCCACAGCCAGCGTCTCCGTGATTCCTACATCTCCCTCCTTCCCCGGGCCTTCCTGTATGCACCGACGCTCCATCTCCCTCACACCCCTGTCTTCCCCGAGTCAGACTCTCGCCTATAACACCCAGGCCCAGGACGCCTGCATCATAAGAGTCAGTCTGGAACACGGCAACGGAAATCTGTACAAGAGCATACTGGTGAATAAGTACTGACGCTTCTGCTAAAGATTTACATTTTCACAGTTTATGTTAAAGCTAACTTAATCTAATCTGTCCCACAAACAGCTGACCAATCAGGATAAGACCCCAGCTGTAATCGCTAGAGCAATGGCAAAGCACAACCTGGAGGTGGAGCCGGAGGAAGGATACGAGCTGGTGCAGGTCATCTCGGAGGAGAGAGGTAAAACATCGACTTTAAAATCTTTGGGAACTGTAAGCTAACCGTAAGCTAACATTGCTCGCTAGCAGTAGTCATATAAAAACTCAATTCTTTAAGATTTGCACGTCAGAATTTTAATTTATTTTTTCCACTAATCAGCTGTTTTCAGGCTTTGTGAACCACACTGCCCTCTGTACTGGTGTGAAGATGGTATCACTGGTTGTAAAATTTACCCGGTTCTTATCCTGCTCTTAATTTCTTTCAGAACTGGTGATTCCAGACAACGCTAACGTTTTTTACGCCATGAACACGTCGGCAAACTTTGACTTCCTGCTGCGGGTGCGGGGCTCGGCAGGCCGGCCCGTGCAGCTGCGTAGCCGATGTAGTTCCACGCTCCCGCGGACCCAGCACCGCTCGAGCCTCTCGCTTAGACTTAGCAAAGTCACGTTGTGACCCTGCCGTGTCACCACTAACCCAGGGCGAGACACGACGGAGGGTGGACATATAATTGGATGAGGAGCTCTCTGGGATCCAGGGTGGAACCCTCCGGGCTTTCAGACTTTCCCTCTCATCCCGAACTGTGCCATTCCTCGCCCAGCCTTAACGTGAACCTTGGATGTGGATTAAACTGCTAATGCCTGTGACAGAGTGAAACAGTGACCCCAAGTGGCCTGAACTCTTTACTACAACAGATATTTTTTGCACATGTATTGGGAGCACCAACCTCCTGACCTCCAACAGTATTCTGATATTGAATGAACTCCTTTATGTCTTGTGACGTACATGTAGCTCAAGCTTTACCTTTCTCCTAATACAAGAGTGCTGAATGCAGAGACAGAAGATGGAGCAGTGAAAGAATGAATGAATGGACCTCTAACAGTATTCTGAATGATATTAATAATTGACAGAAGCTGTGATGCCTTTGGTTTCTCTTGTCAGACAGCTACGTGTGTGTGTTCTTCTCCATATTGTGAGCTGTGTGACGAATGCATCATTTTGTGCATTCTGATTGGTTCCAGTACTTGGTTTTATCAAGTCCTCTGCAAATGCTGAATTGCCTTACCTGCCCAATGTTTTGGGTGTAAAGAGTGTTTGAGCTTCTTTCTAATCTAGAGAGACTCTCAGATCTACAAAAAACCCGAGTTGTACAAGAACAAAAAGGATAAAGCGGAGTATCGTACTGAAATGGAAAGTATTTGTACCTCTTTGCCCTTCATTATATGAACTACAGAGTTGCACTTGACAGTTGGTAGCAGATGCCAATGGGATGTGAATATGGGAGAGCGTGCAAACTGCCGCGTGAAGTAGTTTGCTCCCTCTTCACTAAATGAGTTTCTTTTTTGTAATTTTGTTGCTTTTTCTATGCTTTTTGTAACACAGTTCAAGCCACACATGTATACCAGACTGGAGCATTGCTAACATACATGCTAATTGTGTCAGAGTGTCATAAATCTGGCGGGATACTTCATTTCATTTAACGCCGTAAACGCCCATCTGTTTGTCTGTTTCAACACATGTCAGAAGCCTTCACACTTTCACTCCACCGCAGATAAAAACTGAACGTCACGTGAAAATGTTCCCATTAATTCAGCCTCGGTGTTTGTTCTCCACTGCCAAAGACTCTGAATAAATAAATTATTATCACTATTCTGACTCATTGCCTGTCGTGTTTAATGACTTTATTATCCGTAAGGCCTAAGGAAGCTTCGCGTCTGTATTTTTACCCTTGTGCAGTGGCAGATCACGTGCTCCGCACTGTTAGGACTGACATTGCTGCTCTGGACTGAACCCAACTCATTCTGCTGAGTGGGAAACGTTTGTGCTGACTTGAATGCAGCAGTCATGACCTTCCTTCCTTGGTTATACAATTTGTTTTTTAGGAATTCAAACACGAACGTGTGACATCCACAGGTTTTACTGTAAAACAGGACACGGCAGAAGCAAATGAGATTCCCCTTCTTTAAAAACACTAGATTTTACATTCTAAACATTATCACAGACATTAATAGGTTGTCCCTGTGTGATGTGCTGGTTAAGTTGCTGGTGGGTGTGCTTGGTTGTTTCAAGGACTCGTTCAGCTGACAGCCTAACAACTGCCAATAAAAGAATTTCATTTTAATTCAAACATGAAATGATGAAAAGAACTAAAAAGCAGAGACTAGTCTACTTTTTCAAAGCAGTCACCATGTAAGAGGCAATACAAAATGAAATGAACAGTTAAAAGTATGTGTGGGTGGATGGGTGTGCTTATGAGGACCAATGTAGTGTTAGACCCTGTGATTGAGGGTCATCACTTCACCTTCAAAGGCCTGTTTCGGGGTTAAGGATAGAGTTTAGGATTCAGGTTAGAGCGGGAATTTGTGCTCGATTAGTTTGAGGTCGACAGCTACAGAATAAACCGGGAAGACGTGTTTGTGAGAAGTGTTGCTGGGGTTTTATGCTACCCTCATGGAGTTTCATTTTGACAGATTAGTCAGAAACATGTTGGCGCTCCTCCAGTTCCTCTCACACAGAGGAGCAGATACCGGTCCTTCTGTGACAGACACTCACAGCAAACCTTGGTGTGAAGACACGCATGGATGTACCTTTCTGAGACCATCTCTTCCTGCCAGTATCGAAAAGGACACCAACAAAAAGCAAAACCTGAGAAAAACGAGTAGGGAGGAAGAAGAATCATCTAGAGACCCTGTCGTCTGTTTCATTTGCACCAAAGCAGCTGAACAGAACTCGCAGTGGTTTGTGCTTTCTAACCGGACAGACTGGGAACCTGAACTTTAACTGGCTTTGTGTTGTCATGAATAGTGTTATTTGCACTCAAAAGACACGAGTCTGCGAATTTACCTCAACATTCTCCGCCTACTGTAAGTCTCGGCGGGCTCAGCTAACAGGTGCAGCATCAGTGCACCATCGTTAATGTTCACATATGTGTTTGAACTTTTGTGCTATTTTAAATGTCATGTGAGTGAATGTTATTTATTCTCCTGAAGCTGATAAAGTATTCACATGGAGGAGTTATTCTGTACTTCGACTCATGCTCGCTCTCCTTTTTCAGTCTAAATCTTGACAACAATCCTCAGGTTAGGAACACTTAAAGGCAGATTAATAAGTGCTGTTAAGCTTCAGCTTTGTATGCTTCAGTGTTAGAGGTCTTCCTCTGCTCTTGCAGGACGCACTAACATTGCCGTACACAGAGGGACGCATTACTGCAGCTGTTGTTAATCCGTACGAGCCTCTGAGTGACACGCTGTAGTTTATGTGGTCCACTGAAAACAGCTGGCAAGTGTGTGTGTGTTCAGGGGGAGGAGCTTATGATCCATCTGTCTCCGTTTCTCCACAGCTCAACACGGTAGCAGGCAGCGAGGGGAGGCTGGGACAGACCCGAGTCCTTGTACTGCTTTAATTAAAACACGATTTGAGCCTCTGTTGGCTCAGAATCTAACAAGCGTCCAACACATCAGCCAAAGAAGACAACACCAGGCAATTAAACACTCATTTTGCCTTCATCCGAGCCAGTCCTGGAGCCTCGATGCTCAGCCCCATGAGGCCTTTCACAGCAGACAGGTCTTTATTCAGCCAGTGCCAGGTCTGCCATGAGTGCAAAATCAGGGACTGTTGAAAACACTCATCTCTGGCAGATTTAAGCAAGGACACCAAAAAAAAAAAAAAAAAAAAAAAAAAAGAGTCACATTTAATATCAACTTCTGGTTATGATTTATTAACTTATTCTCTTTAATTCATGAAAAAGAAAGAAAGAAAATCTTTAAAAACTAAAAAACTGTCAGTATAATAAACAATTGATAAGAATGTTTGATGATGAAAATAAAACCCAGAAATGAAACAATCCTCAGCAGAAACCCACACGTCTGAAAAAAGCTTTTCATGTGTCGGCATGAAGCCGGCCTTTCATCTTCTTTCATCACACAAACATATTCAAATACACGTGGTTTCCTCCCTGCACAAACAAGAAATCATAAACATCTTAGAGAAAAACAAAAAATCCCAACTTGGTTAATTTATCAAGTTCATATTCGGTTCTTGCATATTTCAAAGCAAACGTGATTTGATAAAACTCGATTATTTAGCAAACAGAGAATTTTACAATGAATCTGTATCCAAATGTGAAGAGAATAAGAAGATAAGCTCAGTTTGACGTTCTTTACATAAGATATAAAACATAAGCAGCAGGTAAACTGGGTAAAGCACTAACAACAAAAGCTTTGGTTTGTCCACCGAGCCTAAAAATTCTCCTCAAAAATGTTGAGAATCTGAGTGTTCATCAATCGTGCCTAAGCTTCAAATACAACAACGCACGTAAGCAAAAACACCCGATTCCTTTACAATTTGTTATAAATATTACAATTTTGGTTACAGTTTTAAAACTTTGGTGGATTGCTGGATCACCACAAAGAAAAGGGAAAAAAAAAAAAACACATGGAAAACCCCCACAACAGATATGCATTTACCCTCAGAGCCACCTACAGCAATTCCAACAGGCTCCAACATCTATTTGTACCAGTTCAGGTACGAGGCAGGTCCGTCTCCTGTTACGGGTTAGTCAGATTTCTCCAATAACAAGCTGAAGAATTGAGATCAATCAAATAATGTGCCAATATTTCCTAAAAATATTCTTAGAAGACAGAAAACGCACCTCACAAAACAAAAATTATACTTAAAGAGGACCTATTATGCTCCTTTCCAGCTCCATATTTCTATACTTGGGCTCTACTAGAGTAGCTTTGCATGATTCCCAGCCTAAAATAATCCTTATTTGTCCTACAATGGGTCTCGTGAACAGCAGGAGCTCAAGACTTGATCTGTTTTCTGAGAAAAGCATAATAAACAATGGCTCTCAGTGCGATCACACAGAACCAGAGACAGTCTGACCTCGACTCGCCAGATCGTCTGAAACTTTGTGCTGTTTAATAATTGATATAAGCATAACAGGTCCCCTTTAATCATTATGCAGGTTTGTACACATAGACAGGATAATAATACAAGCAGCTGTTATAAAGTCTAAATTATTTAGATGAAACACTAATCTGTTTAGTGCCTGGTGTTAGTGTTCCTGCTTAACTCTGACAAATCTGCTGATATGTTCTAAGAAGAACATGTGCTCTGATCACACAGATGTTCCTGCGAAACTGGGGAACTATCAGAATATGGACCTGAATGTGGTTACTCTCCCTGCCTTCACTGAAAAAAAACAACAAAAACAAATCCCTGATGACGGGGTGCAGGTGAGTAATGTGTTGAACTTTAGTGTTGCTCTCCTTGTCTCTGCGCACCGTGAGGAGCAAGAACAGGCCGACAGCTGTGACCCAGCAGTGCGAGACATAAACAAGGCTAAAAGAAACGGACGGGGCTAATGGACTCGAACCCATTCCATTAAATGAAAGAACTGGAGGAATTTTCCATCTGAGCCTCTTCAACGTCTTTCTTTCATACAGCCAATCCCACAGCAGCAGTGGGACACAGATGTGTTAGAGAGAAGCGTGAGGGGGCATCGACGGCTCAGCAAACTGGAGGTGTGGACTGCAGCTCAGATGTAGGATCGAAGTTCGGCTGAACGCTTCGTTGGAAGGAAATATTTTAGGCTGGATGAAATCTGAGGCGCTTCAGCTGTCTGCGCGCTAAACAATTGCGAACACTCGAAAAAGTTACCTGAGCGAAATGTTCAATACGTAAAAACAAGACGCAAAATATAAACTCATATTTATGCCAGCATAATTTTCCCCAAGATTAAAAGCTGTGAGCGGTTTCAAACCTTCATGATGAAAGTTAGAAACGATTTTAAAGATGATGCAGTCTGCGCCAACAAAATGCAGGTAAACGAATACCTTTAAAACATGATATATTGTGTTTAAATTGGCTTCCATTCAACTGTACAGGTGCAATAATTCAATGTAACATAATACCTGCTTCAACAAAAGTCCTCTAATAAAAAGCTGCTAGCAAAAATGAAGTTCCACTCGAAGTGTACGCTGAGGTGGTGACAGGAGCTTTCCAGGTCATGTGATCACTTTGTTGTTCTACTTTTACATCTATCAGTGAAAACCTTTCCCTCTTTTTCATGTTATTGCACAGTACAGGCATCTGCACTATTAAAGTTTCTGCTAAAAGACACACAAACAAACACAAACCCCAACAGTCTCCACTGTGATTATGAAGAGACGCCTCTTTTCCCCTGCGTCTAAATGATCCACGGTCCATTAAAGGTGAACTGTGTCCTGAAGTATGTGCACACGTCACACAGGACGGTTAGGACGGGTCAGATGGTTTCCATCTCAGACAAAAACAGGTGAGGTGCTTTGAACGGACCGGGAAATATGGTCATTATGACGAGCGTAGTGTTGATGGTCAGCCGTGCTGTACCGCCAGCTCCTGTCCTATGAAGCGGCGCAGGCGCTCCAGATACTGGCTGTAGAGTTCAATGTCGTTGTGTCCCGCTCCCTCAACCCAGAGAGGCTCCACAGCCTTCGGGCAGCGCTCGAACAAGGCCAGGCCGTGGGAAAAGTCGATCACCTCGTCCTCCGTGCCGTGGATGATGAGCACTGGGGAAGTGATTTTGGATACTTTCTCAATGCTGAAATGGAAAGAGAGGAAAACAGGAATTAGAAACAGAACCCGCTGAAACAGTGTGGACCGTTCTGACCAGAGA